TTAACAAAATAAAATATGCTTTATAAAACCAAGTAAAAAAAAAATAATTACAAAATTTTACTTATAACTTTTATGTCTTCTGTTCTTTTACTTCAGGAAATATTTCAAAAGAATATGTTTACTAAATTATGACTTAACCTTTTTCTAATTTTACTTACAAAATTTCCTGAAAAATATATGAAATAAAATGTTAACATTAATTTAAAATTATTTTGTTCTAAAGCAAATAATCAATAAACAATTATAATATAAGATAACATAAAGTTTTATTAAATATTGACTTTGCTAATGGAATATAAACTACTTGCAAATAAATATTTATTCTGAAATGTTTAGTAATAATTTGAGTTGCAATTTGGTTGGGAGCTTCATGAGCAAAAATTCGCGTCTAATGGTATTGTTACTTACACAGAGGAAAAATTTGCGAGTCGACATAAAGAGAAATCAATTAGCATCAATTTGGGTTTGCGCGAAAAAATAATGATAATTTAATAATACATGCTGAATGAAATAGCAGTTAATTCTTGTATAAACAAAAGCAGAGTGATTAAAACTGTTTTGTTAATTGTGTCCATGGGTTTCATGGAAATCGCCAATAAAGATATCAGAAAATATCCCCCCACTATTATAGAGTATACTGGGATAATACAATTTGCAATTTTTACCTAAATTCTTTGACTCCTCAGTCACATTCCAACCGAGAGACATCAAACATTGTTTCATATTTTAAAAAGTTGATAAAAATTGTTTAGCAGTTTCTCCGTATCGAAGCTTAGGTAAATCCACTTTCTTCTATTAACTGTAACGTATAATTTATTAATGTTTATTCATTAATGATTTATAATTACTTTAAATTAAATAATCTTGTATAGATAATCAAAATTAGTAAATTTTAATTATTTTTTACACATTTACATATATTTAATTGCCTTGATTGAGTACAAATCAATATTATTTTGAAAACGTTACATTTTATTTTAAAACTATATTAATTATAATATTTAGTTCTTTTTACATCATTCAAATTGATATTTTTAATTACAGCATAAAAAAAAAATACGTTTTTAAACACATTGATTATTGAATCTAAGAAAGTTTGTACAATCAAAAATATTTCAATTATGAACCATTTACGTTCACTTTACTTGAACAAGAATTAGCACTTTTCTAGATATTTTTGGACGTGTGTTTATTTATTAACATTGAAGTTATTTTTAGAAATAGTTCAATTTTTATTCCCTACAGTGTTTTAAAAACTTTGAGTTAATAATTTATTAATATTTTCTGAAAGATAAATTCATCAATTATAATAATATTTTGCAAATTAAGTAATAATATTATTTTCAAAAAATGCAATTTTCTTAATGTAATGCCGCATTCTATGGCATACACGTATTATTTGCTTTGTTAGTTTAAATGTTTAAGTAATATGTTAACAGGTTACCTCGTGTATAAATGGTTAGGATTTACTTTAATTAAACAAGCGATTTAAATACTCTGATACTATAATTCCTGTAAGATATGTTAAATTACTGTATTTTCAGTTTCAAGTTTTTACACCTTAATTTTGATGAGGTTATCATTAATGTGGCTTATATGGAGAATTACATTATTATTAGAATACTTCCAATACGTACTATAGTTTAGATATAAATTCACTAATACTTATAACTGGATAATGATTTTCTATTGAAAAACACATAAGTTATACCAATAAGTCATACTCAGAACTATAGGTTATATCTTAAATTTGATTTCGACTAGCGATAAATCACGAAGTTTTGCTTTGTTATTTAGTATGCTAAAGAAAGCTTAATAATTAAAAATATTTGTAAATTAAAAATTGATTTAATTATGAAATATTATGTATTTTTACTAAATAAATAACAAAAAATGGATTTCCTGTAAAAATACCTGACATAGTGCTTGTAATTTCGTCAATATACCAAACTGTTTGAAACAGGATTATTCTTTGAATTAAAAAATAATAATTTAATGTACTAATTTTTTTATAAAGCTCAATTAAAATTTAGCTTGACTTGAAATTATCAAACCGTGCTATAGTGAATCCGCAATGAACGAAGCCACACAATCCCTGGTATTACTATAGAAAACTTTTTAAAGCATAAGTTAGTCACTATAGTTATAGACTAACAATATACATGTAAATATGCGTAAGTTTAAATATAAACATCTTGTAAAATTCCGATGTTTGCGTTCAAACTGACCTTTTTTTAGGTTTTTAAAAATATTCTGAAATAAACAAAGTGATCATGGTTTTACGTTTAATTCCAATCCCAAGCGAAAGGAATAAAATAATGCAAGGATAAAACATAAATTCATTAATAATAACAAAGGATGCGAATTATTAAGTTGTTTCATTACTACCGTAGATAAACCAAAGTGATCTTCAACATTTTTTTAAATTGAAACGCGTCATTTAATTGCCTTTATTCTTATTACTTCATTCTGTTTATTTTTCTATACTCGTTGCAATGGATGCCGTTGATGCGTTTGCATTATGCAAGAAACGATAAATTTGCGACAGTGATGTCACTGGTAAATTTATGTATTTTCCCTCGAGGCTTATACTTAAAATCTATTACGAATTGCGGTTGTCCTACTTGACCTACCCTCTTAATACTATTGTTAATTATCTATGTTTTTTTTTTGTAGCCGTTTAACGTAAATTGGAAAAGGCGCAAAGCAGAAAAGAATGTACATGAAAATATTTATATTTTAAATTAGCGCACGGCCAAGAATTTGAATTTTATAGTCGCTTCCTTGGCTGCACGTGCTAATAGGAAAATGTAAATTCTTACAATGGATTCTGGTTTACGCTTTTATACGAAGATTATCTGGTACTTTAAAGACATTCCATATACCCACGTAAATCCATATCATTAAAGTTTAATATGTTATGTAATATAAATTTTCCTTTATAAATATTTATTTGCAAAGCAATAATTTTGAAGCCGAATTTTGGGACTGACTTCAAACTAAATTTTAATTGAGCAAAATAAAATGAATTCTACAAAATTAGTACAAAAAATGTATACAAAAATGATTATTTTTGTTTTCCAAGTTATTATATTAGTTTGGTTTCAAAAAGTCCGGGATATTGGCTAAACTGATTATCCGTACTTTCTGAGGTATTGTTATATGTAAATGTTGAAGTTCAAACTTTTATTCTGAAAATCATATTCTTTGTATTACTATTATATTACTCTCGAGTTAGCAAACTATTTAATAACCTATCCAAGTACCCCGTAATATTCATTGCTTAACTTTCGTAACTATGATAGAGCAAGAACTCTGGAACATAATATTATATCATAGAACGTGGGTTTTACAGAAGTTATGAAACGTGGCTTGTACTTACCAATTCAAATAAAAGCCACGTTTAATCGAAATATAGTAGAAACGCATTTAAGAAGATACCGATTTTAAATACTAAGAAGTTACTACAGTTAGTAGTACAACATCATCGCTGAATAATAGTAGTATAGATTTTGAAAATTATTAAATTGAATGATAATAGTTACTTAATAAAAGTAACTATTGTTCAATTAAAATATACTAATTTTGACTATATGTTATATATTAGTATTTATTATGTTTATGAAATCAATGCTAAATATTCAACATATATTATTTTCATTTAATGTTACAAGTATGATTTTTTAAAGTTTAAAATATGTTTTCGAATAAACTATAAATAGTATACAAGTATGTTGCAATCAAGGTGTTCATCTCGTGAATTATTGAGAAAATCATTGAAATAAACCTTATACATTTGACTTGCGGCTGGAGGCTGGCAATAAACCAGCAATTATAACTAAAAACTTGTTATATTGGAGAATGTATGAGTAATGTCTCGGACATCGGAATAAATCTTTTACAAAACAATAACTTTTACATCTAAATTATTACTTAAACACGACTGTAAAATGGTCTAAAAATAGTTCAATACCGACAGTAATTCATCTCAATTGTTTATTTGATTGAGCTTCGCTTTGTTTTTCAATGCGAGCAATTGCATATATCAACTGGAATTTATTATTAAACAATTGGTAAATGCAGGTATAAATATTTATTTTTGCGTCCTTTGTTGAATGCATCTTGTATAATTGTTGATAATAATGATCTAAATAATTATATTTCAAGTAAAACGTAATATATTAGCATATTTATTTATTTAACATACATGTTATGAGTCTATTAAAACAGAGTAAAAGATTATTGCCCAAGGTCTTTCTGAGTTACAATAAAATATTAAGTAAATAGAAAAATATACATAATTAAGTTACTTACTGTATTTTCTTAGGCTGGAATAATTAAATATTTTTATTTGCAATTACATATTTTCTTTTATTAATGGAAAATGCTTAAAATTTATTTCCTTTATCAGTTATTTTTTATTTTTAACTTAACATTTGTAATCTTATAATAATGTAAATTTTGTTTGTAATTTATTGTATATTGAGGGTTTACAATAAGTTGCAATTAATCCATATATAAGATTTTTTTAAATAAGGAAAAACATTTGTTTATATGATATGTATAAATTGTGACAATATTTGTATGATTTATTTCCTTGCGTGAGAGTTCGTACTTTTTTTCGTTACAAATATATAAAAAAGCGCAGAGTTGGGGAAAAACTAGGATATCATAAGGTTCCACGTGCAACCTACCCACCCACAAGTAGAGCATCTTGGGCTAAATATATATGTGCTTAGCATAATTCCACCATTTACATTTACGCAGCATTACACAAAAATATAAAACGATGCGAATTTCATTACGGTAAAAATGTTTGTTCGTTTACGGACAACTCTACCCAAGGCTGCATCCCGCATTCTTCGCGCCACCTTTTATCACTTTCCATCGGATCGGGAAGGAGCTTAACCTAAAGAGAGGTCCAGAAAGGAGTCCGCCCTTTTCCGAATTGATTCGAGTGAAATGTACTAACGACTTCTAATTCTCTTGTATCCTTTCAGAGCCCAGGATGGATCCACACGATGACGAAGCGCCGAAGGACCCGGGAGCTCAGAACGTGGGGCCGTATGACGAGAAGGACTTTGAAGGTAAATCAATTCATAATCCGAAAATAAACCGCAGCCGCCTCATCTATTCCAATCATTTGCATTGGCGACATACTCTGAATGGCATGGCTCGTTAATGAAGTTGGCCTGCTGTAAATCCACAGTGGACTACTTCTAATGCGATGAGAGCGACAGATATAAATGAATCAATTCTTCAATTGTAACGAGTATTAACTCTATAACAGTTTTTCATAAAGCTTATAAAACCATACGTATATAACATTAATATATAATTGATCAGTGGATAAAAAAATATTAATTTTTTCTCACAGATTTATAAATATTCTAATAAACTAATACTGCTAATACGAGCGATTACATAGTCAATTTTTTTTAAATAACAGCATCTTATTTTATAGTAACAAAATCATTTTATTATATATTTAGTCAAATATAATTTACTATATATTCATTTATTTAAAGTAGATTGTAGATTTATGTGATATTTGCGATTGTATTGTAAAAAAAGCTATTTATTAGTATACTGAGCATTGGTTATATGTATTACAATTATTAATAAATAAACAAATAAGATGTTATAGAACAGTGTTTACTAGATAAACTAGTATTTGTTCCATAGATATTCACATAAGTTACTTACTGAACTAATCAAGTGGATGTGCTTGATGTGTTTCTTATTTTTAGTAAATGTTTTATATGAAGATTTTATTATCGAATAAAAATATTAAGAGTATTAAACTGTGCATATGGTTGCATATTAAAGCAGAGTTTTGGTATTCGAAGTTCCAATCCTATTCATAATATTTTTAGACTATGCAAGATATCTGGATTACAAGTATTTATAACAGCGTGATGTAATATATTCTATGAAGCGCATCCCGCGTTCAATGTGAGAATCAGGCAGGCGTGAAGGTATTCGATAATGTTTTCGGTATACAACCAAAATTACAGAAATTTTCAGGCCTGTGAAAGCTTCTCGGGCATGGCCCGTTGTACGTGTGCAACCTTCGGGATTCATTTACTCGGCTAACGAAAATAACTGTGAAAGAATCCTTGGCATAAATAGCGTTTGGCTATTTAGAAAATGAAGCTAAACAAAATTTCCGAAGGGGGGTAATTATATAGGTGGCATCTAGATAATGTTAAATATATCTATACTTTGTTTTCTTCTCCTTTTTCTGCGGTGTATGTGTGCAGTTTGGTAAGAGAGTCTTGCGTGGTCCTCGGGTATTTATAGATTTTATGTAAAAGGAGCGAAGTCGGGATGGGTCGCGGGGCGTTGGAAATTTGACAAAAGGCATCAAATGTTGGCCGGCTATTTTTGATCCTCAATGAAATTCTTTTTATTATTTGTTTCGCAATTTGTTTTGTTTTTGCTGCTGTTGTTGTATGTTTGGGTGTATGTATATGGATGTTTGTATTTAAAGAATGAAAGAAAATAATGATGGTGGTCGGTATTTAATTATATCGTATATTCATAAATTTACAAAAATAATCATGTTATTAGATATAGTATAACAGAGTCTTTAAGATGTTGATTGATTTTTTTTTATGATTCATTAAAATTGAGTAATAATAAAAGAAATAGTAGCTTGTAAGGTAGAGTAGTAGATGTTGATTTAGAAGCACTTGCGGTGGACGATGCCTGGGCCGGATTCGTCGTATTCTTGCTTGGAGATCCACATTTGCTGGAAGGTGGAGAGGGAGGCCAAGATGGAGCCACCGATCCAGACGGAGTATTTCCTTTCTGGGGGAGCGATGATCTTGATCTTGATGGTGGATGGGGCCAAGGCGGTGATTTCCTTTTGCATGCGGTCAGCAATACCTGGGTACATGGTGGTACCACCGGAGAGGACATTGTTAGCGTACAAGTCCTTACGGATATCAACGTCGCACTTCATGATGGAGTTGTAGACGGTTTCGTGGATACCGCAAGATTCCATTCCCAAGAAGGAGGGTTGGAAGAGGGCTTCTGGGCAACGGAAACGTTCGTTACCGATGGTGATGACCTGTCCGTCGGGAAGTTCGTAGCTCTTTTCCAAAGAGGTGGAAGCGGCGGCGGTGGCCATTTCCTGTTCGAAGTCGAGGGCGACATAGCAGAGTTTCTCCTTGATGTCACGGACGATTTCCCTCTCAGCGGTGGTGGTGAAAGAGTAGCCACGCTCGGTGAGGATCTTCATCAAGTAGTCGGTCAAGTCACGGCCAGCCAAGTCAAGACGGAGGATGGCGTGGGGAAGGGCATAACCTTCGTAGATTGGGACGGTGTGGGTAACACCATCACCGGTGTCCAAGACGATACCGGTGGTACGACCGGAAGCGTACAAGGAGAGGACGGCTTGGATGGCGACGTACATGGCCGGGGTGTTGAAGGTCTCAAACATGATTTGGGTCATCTTTTCGCGGTTAGCCTTTGGGTTGAGGGGGGCTTCGGTGAGGAGGGTTGGGTGTTCCTCTGGGGCGACACGCAGTTCGTTGTAGAAGGTGTGATGCCAGATCTTCTCCATATCATCCCAGTTGGTGATGATACCGTGTTCAATTGGGTATTTCAAGGTAAGGATACCTCTTTTGCTTTGGGCTTCATCACCGACGTAGGAGTCCTTCTGTCCCATGCCGACCATGACACCTTGATGCCTTGGGCGACCAACGATGGACGGGAAGACGGCGCGTGGAGCGTCATCACCGGCAAAGCCAGCTTTGCACATACCGGAGCCGTTGTCAACGACCAACGCCGCAACATCGTCGTCACACATGTTGATTGTTTAGTTGTTTGGGCACTACTGGTTCGACAGAAAGGACTCAGCTACTGAGCTTGTAAACTGCGAATGACTGCAAAAACTTAAATCCCTCGTTTTATAGTGCCTGCTAGGCTGGCTATGAATAGTTCTTGTGGACTATGTATGGTTCGGTAGCGCCGCGACGCAGAGGCGTAGCGTCGTCGATATAAGGCAGCCGCGACGCTAGCTTCACTCTGGGAGATAGTTTTCATACTTTTTTTGGCAAACTCTACGTTCAGGAATTCGCGACCCACAAGCCTCGTATTTTTTACATAAAAAACACACTTCCAAATCCGGTAAACATCAATCATCAACCCCAATAAACAACAACAATAGAAATTAAAACCCACCCCGACTATTTCATCACTAAAATATCTGAACTTGTTCAGCAATTCAATACAGTGAATTATTTCATAGATATCCAGACACCCTTCGCCGGCTAACCAGACAGATCAATATTGTCTAGAGTTTTGAACCCTTGGCAGACACCACAATTCGCCCCCAAAACATCTTATACACATCCACAACAACAGAAACGCTCAATAGACGCAACAAAAAATGCATATCAGATACATATTTCATAACATATTTTAAACAGTCAACCCTTTCCAGACTAACAATGACAATTAGCCTACATTCAAATTTACATATTTTTAATTAAATTTGCATGTTAAAATTAAAAATTGAAATCCAGGATAAACGCAACCAATCTAGATAAATAAATATTTCGAGTCGTCTATTTTTAGCATTTGAACCGACTTACATTGAAGAAAGCGGTTCATGTTATTCGAGACAACAACCAGGTCCAATAGATTTATTTTAATAATTTTGTAACGAAGACTTTATTAATGTTATTATTTCAATGAAATTATATCCCTTCGATTTTCGATCTGTGTAGTTCCTTGTAAGCATAGAAACCGAAAATGCGGACGTTACTCTAAAATTCTATTTTTAAACGTCTTTATGCTCGCATTTAGGATTAGCCAATAATTATTTAAATCATTCCATAAATTACACCATTTGTAAGAAGAGACAAGGACGGGGATAAAAATAAGTAATTTTTTGTATATTGTATATACATTTATTACGTAAACAAGTTACTACTCAATGTCATTATATCTAAATATAATGTAAACGATAGTAGTCAATTCATATATTTTTTAAAAGAATATTGATGTTTTCATGAATTAAATGAAAAATATTTCTCTTAGAGTTTGGTTACATAAACAATCCTTGATTGTATATTTATTTTAATTTTATTCCAATCAATATGTGCGAAATGTATGTATACTGTGAAAATCTGATATATTCACTAAAGTTCTAAATTGAACTTTTATTGAATGAATACAAAAAATATATAGCAAAGAGAAATATACAGTGGAACCTCGCATAACGAGCATTTCGCTTAACGAGTGACAATGAGAAGACAAGTACCGCGCCTGCTACATCATCTGAAAAAACTTGTATACGCATGTTATGTGGATTTTTGATTATTTTTCACTATGCGAGTGAAAATCCAAAAATTTTTGAACGGATTAAACTCGTTAAGCGAGGTTCCACTGTATAGTAAAAAATAGTCCAAACTGGATTCATGGAAGCTCCAATCAATAATCGAAGGTAGCAAAAAAATTCATTATAATAATCTAGAGTGGCACTCGAAATATGTTTGGTTCACATCGCGAAATAGACTATGTGGATAATTAGAGTGTTCTTGGATTACTCGATGATGCATTGTTTTCAAACAATCACTTAATTTACTTGCAGCGTAATAAATTCCAGCACGATTTTTTTCTCTCCAGCAACAAAATTTTGCACTAAATCATGGTATACTATAAATAATAAGGTAACAAGTCTTTTATTAACTACGTTCGTTGTTTAGTATAATTTTCTAGAGATTAACAGTTTGTTAACTACAATTATGTCCAATAGATATGATATAATTTATAAACGTTTAATCAAAAATTTAATAATATTCTAGTTATATTTATAAAATATTTTATGAAGCACACATTTGAAAACTTAACTTCTTATTAAGAATAAACTATTGCTTTTAAAAAGTGCACTGAATATAAGTTTGTTTAAACTTAATACAATTTATCATATACTTTGTCTCCACTTGCTTCAAAAGTGTCTATGAAAATGCTGCATTAGAAATATATTCTTTATCTATTATCTGAAATATTTATAATATTATATCAATCAAATCTGTTTATTACTGATCTTTTTACACTGTATATTGTAACAACTTACACAGTTTGTAAATTAGGTAAAGTTTAAGTAATTTTGGAATTATGAATGTATTTTGTAATAAACAAAAATAAATTTGAATTAATCGTATGTTCCAAATAGCACAAAAAGAGACTTTACATTAAAATGGAAAAAAACATTTTGCTTGTATATAATACAAATATATAATTATTATTTGGGATGAATTGATGCGGTCATTGTAAACTGTTTAATAATTAATAAGTCAAAAAAGTATTAATATCTGCAATTTTGGATAAGTCACAAATCAAAATACTTGAGGTAATTTTTGTTTTTGAAGCAAAAGTCGAGATCAATAGAAGACTTAAAAGAATTTGGCCTTCGGTAAACTAAGTGACTTGGTGAAGGTGATATACTTTGATTCCAAGGCATACTACCTATATGTTTTGTTATTGTTTAAGAAGAAACACTGACATTGACGCAGTGTTAACAACATATCTGTTACCTAACTAAGCGAAGAAAGTTCATGAGTCAATTAATATTTGTCGATAAACCTAATTTTAATATTAAAACATGAATTCATCAAATAGTTACTAATATACTGTAAAATTGACAGCTTCTAATAATTTCAGTTGAAGTATTTTGAAGGTATTGTTGAGTATTTGTGGATGGATCTTTTGATGGAACGAGTTGCTAGGCAGCGCCCGGAGTAAGTGTTCCAATAAACGCAATACGATCACACAAAAAAGAAGAAAGAAAATTCGTTGTAGTATTTCGAACGAGACTTTCGTAAACGCACAATTTCATTAAACGTTTAAAAAGCTTTTAACGGGAAATATTCACTATTAAAGTTTTCTATTGGAATGTTAACATTAACAGCACACCCACGACAATCCATATGAGAGAAGGAAAGAAAAATCGTAGAAAAATAACAATAAAGAAACAGGTCTGATGTAAATATAAAAATTGCAGTGGAATGTGAACGAGCAAATACAGCGTATTTATTGTGAGACCGATTTTTATTATTTATCCACCAGATAACAGACAAATCGACCTTCGATAGTTAAACGGGGATTGTTTATTGAGCGTATTTTCTTATTAAGTGGAAGAAACATGGTGATTAATTTGAAACAAAGAAAGAGCAACGACGCATACGTTCTTACAGAATAAAACGATTATTTCCGTTCTTGGTAACAAAATGATTGCTCGTTACATCGTTGAAAAATTCCTTTCGATTTGCGGATAAAAAAATGTAAATTATAATACAAACGTGAGGTTTTCTGAGAATATTCTTGATTTTAAAAGTTTGTAACTTATTCAAATATTAGTGTTTTTGATTTTCCTATGAATTATTAAAAAAATTGGGAGACGTAACGATCTTTCGCAAATATTGGTGTTGAATATCGACGAATTTAATTTATTCCGTGCGCGTGTTTTGGAATTACACTTTTGTTTAATTGACTCATTAGTCGGTTCACTCGTGGATGCCAATTAGCTGATTATCCTTTCTTTTTGTGTTCTCTATAACATTCAACAAATACGCATCATGAGATGAGATTATAAAATTACTGTTACAAATATTGACACGTCTATCTATGGGCAATATTGATTTAGTCTGTTATTTATTTTTTAATAAAATTATTCTAAGTATGAATTTTAATCAATGTAACGTCATGTCAGGTGACAGTAACAAGATTATAAAATGTTGTCAATATTTGATGAGTTCTTCATGAAAAAAAAAACAAATGGTTTGTATTTGAAATCTAGAAAATATCTAAGTATTATTTTCTTGTATGATCGGCTGCCTAGCATCTCTATACTTCAAGATACGCTTTACATTTGAATGTAGATTTAACACATTTCGTGTATATTTATTAAAAGCTAATTACTATAATTATTATTTAATTTATTTAAACTTTATCTTAATCTTGCCTCTAAGCAAGATTTTAAATCATATTTCTAATAATAATAATAATAATTTGTTTAAGTATTTTCTTGTTGACAATTATATTTTTTATTAAGTATTTTTATTGCATTCTTTGTATATTAGAATTAAGAATAATTTGTTACTTATATCTATAATCAGATAATGATATTGAATAAAAAAGTAAATGTTATATAATTACGAAAAAAATAATTAGTAACTTTGACCACGCACTGAATAAAAGTAGAATAAGTAGTGATATTCATAAATAACGTGTAATTATATTTCATAAGAAAGTACAACTATTATATAACTGAACTCAACGAATCGATTCAAATTCAAAACAAGTATAATAAAAAGGCTATTATACCTTTTAATGCAATAACCATAAAAAATATAAAATTAACTCACTTTTATTTGCTATTGTTTAAATGATGATTAATTCATAAAATTTGTTAACAAAAATAGTATTTATTAATTACTAATGAAGTTAACCTACAATTCGACAGCCAACGAACAAATTAAAAAATCAAATCATCATAATGATAACTGTCCACCGTAAAAGATTATCCATTTAATGTCAACCGCGTTCTTAAAATTACTCAATGTTCACATTTATGAAGATATTGTGAATAAAATTATACGACATAAAAAAGAAATATTAAGTTAAAATGTTGAAAGTTTTTTAAGCTTTTAGAATTGATTAAAAAAATGGAACCATCACTTTATTTGATATTTACTGATTACTATCTTTCTCTCTCCATATTATTCAGAACACAATGGCTTTTAATCGATACTCTTTAATCAAAAGGATCCCTCTTTCGCAAGCTTAATCAGACAATGGGATATATTTAGAATACGTCTTTGAAAATACCAAGGAGAGCATAATGAAATTAATTTCTAAGGGATGAAATTGTGAATCATCATGTAAATAG